TATAAGGTCCCTCTCTTTTTCCTGACCCTTCGCATTCCTGTTTTCTATTTCCCCCTCAGAGAAAACCTAGTCTCCTCCAATCCATCACGAAGCCGGTAGTCGCCCTTTATATTGTTGATTCTAACCCTGAGTATTTATCATTCTTTTGGTGTTTTGATATTTGATATTGTGGGGAGAAAATGGTGAAAATCTCAGCTTTGTGCCAACGAAGGTGAGAAATTTTGTTTCGACTCTGTCGCTGCCGGTATCCGTCTTCAATCCCCCACCGTCCTATGCTACCATGTAGGTAAGTATTTTTCTTTAACCTAGATTCACTTCTTTTATCCTTAATATCTGATATAGTTGAAGTTTTTTAATAATTGATTATGCTTTGTTTCTTTAGTATGTTTGGGCTTTTATTGGTAATCGTAGTTCCATTTCAATTGTATGGTTCTTGGAAGAAAATTTTCTAAGTATTTGTATTTGTATATGAAATTCACTGGATTGGATGTTGTGCTGTTGATTGTTTCTGAATTGGGTTGGATGACCGAATCAGATGAGTTTTGTGGGTTAATGTTGGATTGAAGTGACAATAAGTTGACTGGGAATGTATCTATATATTTCATGAGGCTTGTCAAATTTAGCACTCCAATTTTGAGTAACAAAGGTTATAAGTTTAAATTTTAGCTTCCACTCTTTGCATTGGATTATGGATTTCATTAGACTTCAGCATTGCAGTTGTAATATTTCGAAATTTTATGCTCGTTTAAATTTCTTTGGGATAGCGATTTAACTTTCAATACTATTTTTGGCCATAAGGTAAAAGGGGACACCGCCTTTGTAGTGGTTAATGTTAGAGGTAGTTAATGAATGTAGGCATGAAGTGTCAAGGTTGTGTATACATGAAATGATTAATAGTTAGTCGAAACTTAAGGCAAGTTTGGATTTAAATGAAGTGGATTATTTTGTTAGGGCTTCAATTGACCAAATGATTAAATTATTTTACAATCTACAATTTTTGAATATGTAAGTTGGGTACAAGTTTAAATTTGGGGTACACTTTGTTAACAATGAAAGTTAGCGGGTTTAGATTATATTAGTTGAAAAAATGAGAGGTTTCCTTTGTAAATCTAGGTTTTAAGGCCACTTATTACCCTATAATCAACCCACTTGTCATCCATCATCACCATACACTTAGATAATAGACTAAACATGTGTACTAGTAAGAAAAAAAAATGGAAAGAAAGAGAGGTGAGGCGGTGGAGATGGAAGAGGGAGGAAAAAATATCAACCATTTATCCTTATCTTTATATATATATATAAATACATCCATATCCATTGCCATAGAAAGATTTCCTTCATTTTACAAAACACTTATACACTTAAAAAGAGAGCAAAAACCGAAAATAAGAAAGGAAAGGGAAGGAAGTAAACCTAGCACTTCCAATTTACATTTCAATCGAAGATCTTCAAATTTTACGGTAAGATACTTTCATGCTTAAGAGTTATGATTTTCATGGTAATATTTATGCTTAAGTTATGCATGAAAAACCATAATATGATTATGGTGGAAAAGTCCACAAAGTTAGATATCTATTTATGCCTTAGGACAAGTCCGAAGGACACCGGCAAGCTAGAATATGCAAGTATGGGTTTGATTGTATTCTTTTGTGTGGTATTATCATGATAAAAATCCAAGAATGATATCTTACTGAGTATTTCTTATACTCATAGTACGTTATGCTAAATTTTCAGATCCATGATCATTTGAATTGATGGAAGTTAGTTGGCTTACGCGATGATGGATTACGGACAACGAAGTTTTGTACCGAAAGTTTTCTTTTGTGTGTTTTGTTCGATGACAGTTTTTCCATCTATTTTTTTATGGTATTATGTAAAAATATGAACATGACATGATGTATTATGGTATTAATAGTAAATTTTGTAATTATATCTTTCATGTTATGTTAAGAGACATTTTTATAGTTTATTTTCCTTGCAAGTGATAAAAGGCAGAAACGGGACAGTTTCTGGAGTCAATTTCGAAACGATTTTACTAACTCTATAAACGTCCATTTGAGACTCTAAAAATATGTCTGTTTTCCTCTTTGAGTTTTCTAAATATGGCCGAAGGAATCACTCAATTTCGATATCTATGGCGTGAGTTATCAAGGTTTTAACGTCCAAAGGTCAATCTGGATCTCCTGTGTAATACTTCACTGTTTTCAGTAAAACGTCTATATCATATGATCTTGGAAAATTTTCATATTTTAACCTAGAAAACTACTTGAAATTATCTTTCTAATGCCACAAATTTCATAGAAAACGGAGTTGGGATGAATCTTATAAAAATTGTCAAACCTGCTGCCCCAACTAATCTTGACAGTGCCGAGGCCATATATGTGAAGCATAATTCCTTGTCGACATGCACTTTTATCGGCCATTAAAATTTTATAAGAATTATTTTACCAAGTTGAAAATAAGTTTTTCACATGTAACACTTCTATTTAAGAGTATTTACATGTACCAAAGGCAGAAGTTATTATGTTTAGTACGTGACCCTCGAAGCGTAAGTTCGGGGTGTCACAGCAGTCTTGTGGAGTAATTTATAGTTTGCTGAGGTTTTTTCTTCTTTATGTATGTAAGAGCACCATCGTGTCGTTATTTGTTTAGTTGAGTGTTATTATCGGAAGTGCTGTATATTTGCGTTTACCAAATTAACTTCCATGATAACTTTGATCTCATTATATCATTTTTGGTTATTGAAGTGCAGATGACAGTGGATGAAGATGCCTCAACCCCCTCCACGGTCACTGCATCACAACTTGGAGTTCACGTACGGTGCTTCAAAGGGGTGAACGTTGTATGAACAAATTTTATGTTATTGGTTGCGATGATTTTTGTATAAACAGGTCCAAATTGACTTACACTTTTGCTTGCCTAGCTCGTTCATGTAATTGTTGTTGGTTGCAATGAATGTTATATAAACCCGGTATGCAGGCGCACATGGATGATCCTAGATTTTTGTACATTATGTTTGAATGTGTTATATCAAAAGTACTTGTACAAAGTTGCCATTTGTTGCTCTTTATGCATGCGCGTGTGACTATAAATTATGTATTCCGGAATTTCCACTAACTCGAGAGTATGCAGTGTAGTTCGATTCGTCATCAAAAAGACAGTAATTTCAGAATCTCGTGAATACATTACGATTCTCGTTTTTGAACTGAGTAAAAAATAAGTACCAACATAGAAAAATTCATTTAAGTTGTCTTTCATGTAATGTTATAAAACATGCAGCAACATGGAAAAAATCTTGCACATAGCTGTTACGTTGAAAAGTTTTTTCTCAATTTCTGGAAGGAGTACCACATTCAAAAACTGAAAATGGAATTGAAAACCGTGCTTAGCTCATTTTTAGTCATTGCCAAAATAATTCAATAGTCATAACTCACATTGGTACTAATCTTCCAACCCCAGCCACCATTTCAGGACATATACTAGGGATTTAAGTATGATTAGACCATCATCCATCACATAGTTTTCTATCAAATTTTAATTGTATGGGGGTTGGTGGTTGGGGCACTAAATGAGCTTCAGTGCATCTCTCCAAAAAATCTACTATATATAGCATGGTAAGTCCACATTATCATTGACACCTTCAATATTCACATTTGAAAATTCATGTTGCAGTCTCTACGTTTACTCCTCAACAGGTTCAATAAATATTTTCGTATCAGAACAATGGCGTCGTCGACAGGGAACAATGAATCATTCAAGCATGAGGAGTCGCTACCAGCACCCTGTTCGTCCCCACTATGTCCCATCGTCATTGCTTTGGACGATGATGAAGTGAGTTATGAACGTGCTACGAGAGCCACATCCGTTGTTCTTTTTCCGAACCTCGACGATGTTGCAAGTGAAGCTTCCCAGAGTCCAAAGACCGTGCTTGATTGGGTCGTCCCATTGATGGTTCCGGTGGAAGTTGAGTCTGACGATGACGCGTGGTTGGCTCATGTTCCATCTCTCGAGATCATTGTGATCAGCTCCGATGACTCCGAACAAGATGGTTCGAGTGTGGACAATCAATGAGGTGGCAAATATGGGTATGTGGAGCTTATGAAATAATGTATAGTTCGTATTTTGTCAGGGATGGATCTGGTAACATAGTTCAGCAATGGTGAGCAAGAGCACCTCCATTGTCTACGTACTGTTTTCTTCATAGTTTGGTAGATTTTGGCATTGGACCTACTATGGACGAGGACAGAAACAATTTGTCGGGAACGACATGTATACTGTCGGGAACGACAGATTAACTGTCGGGATGTAAGAGCATAGGTTCATTTGTGTAAGTATGAAACTTGTGTTTCCCTGTATGGATCCCTTGTTTACTGAAAATTGACGTACCCTGGAATGAATAAGTTCACTGTATTGACAACGTAGGTTCGTCGGGATTTCTTGGTTCGGGCTTAACACATGAACTTGGAAGCATCGAAAAATAAGTTATTTTTAAAATTCTTTGTAGGTGGAGTTAGGTGTCTATACGTACGTGGTGTCTTATGAATAAGTCCGTATGAAAAAAGTACTAATCAGGTCAGCCCTAAATCGTCTTTGAAACATACCGTTTTTGTTTGTTGCTAAATTAGAAGACGATGTCTGCTGTTAAGAAACGATAATGGAATGTAAAAGAAATGTTATGATTCAAAATATCTGTATAAGTAGAGACTTGAATGGGTAACATGTAGTCATGCAGGCATAAATATTTCGGACAAGTCATATTATATACTCTGTAACCATCTGTCGGGACTGACAGTTTAACTGTCGAGATGTTCCGAAGGGATGTCAATTACAATATCTTCTAACTAGTTGCGATCATGAGAAACACTAATGTCAGCAAACAAACGACAATGATAAAAAAATGAGAACATTTACATTCTTTCATTACAAACGACATGGGGGTGTCAGTTCACATACAACTTCAACCACTTTCGAACAAAAACCTATTTATTACAAATGCCTATTTAAACGGTCGGTGGTGTAATGGGGTTGGAACATGTGCTCCGATTATGACCTAGTCCACCACAGCGAGTGCATTTTCTCAGTCGTGTGGCGGACTCGAATATGGATCGCTGACGTCTTGTAGGTGGTCTACTTGGAGGACGACGTACATTGGGTGGCCTAATAGGAGTACCTGTAATTTCGTTTGGCACTATCCAGTCCACTTTATGCATAACGGGATATATAGCTTCGCTATAGGCACCTCTCCAGTATTTCGATGTGTAATACAGTGAGCATAAGTCGTACAATGACATACGTCGCAAGCAGGCGGCTCGAGTGGCATGAACGCATGGCATACGATTAATTTCAAACTCACGACAAGTGCAGCTGTTATCAGAGAAGTCGACGATGTCCGCGTCGTTGGACATTCCAACCTGTGTTAACTGTTCTGTCAAGCCATGAGCTCGAAGCCTTGTACCTGCTTCAAACGTTGTCCGCAACTCGTTCTCCATCCTCAACGACAGCATGCCAGTACATGTGATTGCACTGATTTGACATTCGTGAAACCACTTCTGCATAGTTTGTCGAATGTGTTCGACCAAGCACGTGATCGGTAATGAACGGGCATGTCTCAACATTGAGTTCAAAGATTCGGCATTGTTATTTGTCAAAATGTTGTACCTTTGACCAACAAACAGTGCTCGTGACCAAAACGAGAAACCTGCTCGCTCTAAGTACCCGTACGCTCTTGCACTTACCCTACAGATCTGTCTCATAAGTCTTTCAAACTCTTCGATCCGAGAAGTTCGTGTAGCTCGTTTGAATAGAAATATTACACTTGCGTTGTTATACCGCTGTACTAAGTTCTTTTCTAGATGCCAGATACAGTACCCATGACGGGACTGAGGAAATATGCGAGCAATGGCATTGGAAATGCTATTCTTCCGGTCGGAAACAAAAACCAATTCAGCAGAGTCGCCTATAAGCTCTTTCAAGTTGGACATAAACCACATCCAAGATCTATTTGTTTCAGCATCAACGATCTCCCATGCCAAGGGATATATCTGTTTGTTGGCATCTTGGCCGGTTGCCAGCAAAAGTGTACCTTTGTATGGACCTTTCAAGCGACTATCGTCAACACAAATAACGGGCCTCAAGTAGCGCATGTAGCCATGAATGCTTGCACCGAAAGCTAGAAAGAAGTAATGAAACCTGTTATGGGAATCAACTTCGATGTGGGTTACTGTCCCCGGGTTACGCTCTCCTAGAACATCACAATAGGAAGGTAATTTTTGAAAACTATCCCCCGGTGTACCATGTAACATGTAAAGCGGCAACTTTCGCCCTATGTGCTTTTTGGTAACTTATTTTGACACCAAACTCGCGTTCTATGTCACGTGCAATAGCGGTAGGATCGTACAACCGGTATGGATTATCCAATTTTCTCAAAATGTGCTCGGCAATTACAGAAGTAGTGGCATGTCGATGTGCGTTACGACGGATATCTACCGAACATGTGTGCACATGGTTGAATTTTCGGATCATGAATATAGAAGTCTGTTTCACACTCGAAGCACGTAACATCCACTTGCAATTACGGTCCAAGCATGCAACGGTTAACATTTTACGGCTTGACCTGCTTACATGAAATTCAAACTTGTCTTGCAAAACAAGTACACGAATTTTCGAGTACAGCTCTTTCTTGCTCAAGAATATTTGCCGTTCAACAAGATCGGATGTATCCACAGCTGTAATCCATTGGTCTGTACCTTAACGAATTAGTTGTGATGACATTCGGGCATCAACGTCTGCAATACTAGTAGCATCTGTATCATTGAATGGGTCGTCCAACATATCATCTACAGGTGCAGCCCCATCATCAAAATTCCCCGTTTCGACTGCATTATTCACTGGGGAACTAGGCTCATGATTCATGTCATCGTGTTCTAAGTTCTGGTGAATATCCGTTGCGGCAAACAAATGGTCACGCAAATTCGTATCCCTCCCCATGTCAACAGTTCGCATATTTGTCTCCACAATATTAACGCACATAGCGGTTTCCGTATGAACAGATATGTACCACATGAGGTCTTCATCTTCACGTATTTCAGCAGGCGGTATATTCATGTTCGGGACTTTAAACTTCAATTCCATTTCGGTGTGCGGATCGATAATGCCAAGTTTCTCATTCAACCGTAACAGAAGTCCGACTAGGGTAATATTTCTTGGCACTAAAATGGATGTGGTTTTGTCCCCTATCCATTTCCATTCGTCATCCGCGTGAATAAACCTTCCCCCGTGCGACACGATGAATCTCAAATGGGTGTTCATACCTAAAATAAAGGGATTACAACAATAAGAATTATGAACAGTCAATATGTCGATATGTAATAGCATCGAAGCGGCATTTTCGAATATTTAAACCGATGCAATAGGAGAATGTGAAATGCAGGGTGTCAACAGTTTTCAACTGTCGACTTTGACAGTTTAAAACTCTATCCCGACAGTTTATCTGTCGATCTCGACAGTTTATAAATGTCAAGATCGACATGTATAACCGTCGAGATCGATAGATAAACTGTCGAGACCGCCGACAAGTTTAACGCCAGTTTGTTTGTTACTTTCTCCGAAATATTAATGGTTATAATCAATTCTCAACTACAACAATTATTCCATTGCTCTACAGATCTCTATAAACAAATGACTGCTTCATTAAATATGGAATAGTTGACATTTCCCTAAATATTTTTGGTATATTTTCCCTTTAAAATGATTTGAAAAAGAAAAAACAATACCATCATCATTAATAGTGGTTTTAAATGTTTTCTTCACTTTGATGATCATGTTGCTTTTAATATGTGAAAAATAATAAGCTATTACATAAAAATATAAATAATTTGTAATAACTAACATCTCCAAATGGATGATGAATTGAATAGCAATATATTGTTGATGAAGGAATAAAGAAGATAAAAGAAAATGGAGGGTTTTTTCAAGAAGGGATGTATTTGATGTGAACTAGGATTGTTTTGCTTCTTTTACCTTATTTTTGCTTCTTTTAAATTTTTTTTACGTCTTTTCTCTTTTTTTTTTAGTCAATTCATATTATACAATATAATATACATTTATCAAATCATTATAATATACATATTAAATAATGAAATCATTACAATTGATTGGATTGAAGGCTACCATTAATGAGCATTTAATGCTCCTAAAAAGGGGAGATTAAGGGTAATTTGGACATTTTCCACCAAAAAAGTGACATTTTTGATAAAATTTAGTGCACATCAAAAGTTTTATAGCAATTTTCAAAAAAATGTCATTTTTGATAATTTCCCCTTTTTTTTATTGTGTAGTTAAACAAATGACAAATATTACGAAACTTGAGTTTGCTGCACTTAACATATCTGGTAAAAATTATCTGTCATGGATATTGGATGCTGATATCCATCTCGTCTCAAAGGGTCTGGGAGAGACAATAAAAGAAGGAAACAATGAATCCCTGCAGGATCGTGCAAAAGCACTCATTTTCCTCCGTCACCATCTTCACGATGGATTAAAAATTGAATATCTCACTGAGAAAGATCCACAAGTTCTTTGGAAAAAGTTAACTGAAAGATTTGATCATTAGAGGACTATAGTCATCCCTAAAGCCCGTTATGAGTGGATGCACCTTCGTTTGCAAGACTTTAAAACGGTTAGTGAGTACAATTCTGTATTGTTCAGAATATGTTTAAAGTTGACTTTGTGTGAAGAAAAAATCACCGATGAAGATATGCTAAAAAAAACTTTCTCCACCTTTCATGCCTCGATTGTGCTCCTGCAGCAGCAATATCGTGAGCGTGACTTCAAAAAGTACTCAGAACTTATATCTTGCCAGCTAGTTGATGAACAAAATAATGAATTATTGATGAAAAATCATGGATTACGTCCAACTAGTTCTGTACCATTGCCTGAAGCAAATTGTACTACATTGTCTGACGTGGACGCAGACGTGGACGCGGGTTTGGACGTGGACACGGACACGGACGTGTACGTGGAATAAATCATGGAAGAAATAATCAACAAAGTTATCAACAACAAGGCAATAAATTCAAAAGGCACAAAGCAAACGAGAGTGGCAAATCTAAAAAGGAGTATGAAGAAAGTTGTTTCAGATGTGGAATGAAAGGGCATTGGGCACGTACGTGTCGTACCTCAAAAAATCTTGTGGATCTTTACCAGAGATCAATCAAGAGAAAAGAAAAATTGGAGACTAATTTTGCTGATTATGATGATCCAATTGATGTGACTCATTTGGATGTCTCCGATTTCTTTACTGATCCAAATAGAAATATTGACCATTTGGTTGGGGGTGGTATGATAGAAGATATAGATTAATTTACTAGTATTTCTTTCGTTTTAAAAATTCAGTCTGAAATATGTTTTTACTTTTCTGCACAAAAAAATAAAAAAATAAATAAAACTCTATTATGCACCGTTTATTTCATGATATTAAGTAATGTTTATTTCTTTAAATCTAAATTCAAGTTTTTTTTTTTAATTTTGTTTATTTTGTTACATTTATAGATTCATGATGGATAGTCAAAACAGCTGCTTAATTGATAGTGCAACTACACATACTATTTTTCAAGACAAAAAATACTTTTTGGACTTAATATTAGCTGAAAATAATGTTAACACGATATTGGGTGCGTCGAATATCATTGAAGGCTCCGGAAAAGCTTGTATTATTTTACCAAATAATACAAAATTATATATTGACGATACACTTTATTCTAGCAAATTCAGAAAAAATTTGTTTAGTTTTAAAGATATTCGCTGCAATGAATATCACATTGAGACGATGCAAGAAAATAATGTTGAATATCTTTGCATCACTTCTTTTGTATCTGGCAAGAAGCAGATAAAATAAAAATTTCATGCACTCCCGTCTGGCATGTATTTTACATTTATAAAAATGGTCGAATCAAATAATGTTACGAACCAGAAGTTCGTTGATTCAAAAAGTTTTATACTTTGGCATGATCGATTTGGACATCCAGGAGCCATAATGATGCGTCGAATAATAAACAACTCACATGAACATCCTTTAAAGAACCAGAAGATTCTTTTATCTAATGATTATCCATGTGTAGCTTGTTCGCAAGGCAAGTTAGTCATTAGACCTTCAACTACAAAGGTCAATATTGAATCTCCAACTTTCTTGAAAATAATACATAGAGATATATGTGGGCCAATACACCCACCATGTGGACCATTTCGTTACTTTATGGTATTAATTGATTCTTCTACAAGATGGTCACATGTTTGTCTACTTTCAGCTAGGAATGTAGCATTTGCTAGACTACTTGCTCAAATCATAAAATTGCGAGCACAATTCCCCGATTACTCAATCAAGACTATTCGTCTTGACAATGCTGGTGAATTTAGAGTACAAGCATTTGATGATTATTGTATGTCAATTGGGATTGAAATTGAACATTCAGTTGCACATGTTCATACACAAAATGGTTTAGCGGAATCGTTTATTAAACGTCTACAACTTATTGTTAGACCATTACTTATGAAAACAAAACTCCCAACTTCTATTTGGGGTCATGTCATATTACATGCTGCATCATTAGTTCGTATAAGACCAACTGTCTATTATCAATATTCACTTTTGCAACTTGCATTTGGTTATGAACCTGATATTTCTCACTTACGGGTTTTTGGTTGTGCTGTCCAAGTTCCTATTTCACCCCACAACGTACTAAAATGGGTCCCCAACGAAGACTTGAGATTTATGTGGGTTTTGATTCACCATCTATTATTAGATATCTTGAACTTTTAACGGGTGACTTATTTACTACACGTTTTGCAGATTATCATTTTGATGAAATGACTTTCCCAACTTTAGGAGGAGAAAAATTATATCCTGAAAAACAAGATAGAATTTCTTGGAACGAGACAACTCTATCTTACTTTAATCCCCACAGCAATCAATGTGAACAAAAGGTTGAAAAAATCATTCATTTGCAAAGAGTTACAATTCAACTACTTGATCTATTTGTTGACACGAGAAAAGTGACAAAATTCATATATTCCAGTAGAAAATATTCCAGCAAAAATTAATGTCCCTGCACGACAATCTGCTGTGGCAAATGAATCTCAAATACGC